CTTTTAATACTAGTTATAAGATTCACTGAAAACTCATCTATAAGAGTAGTATTTTTTTCATATTCTGATAATTTATTCACTGTACTAGATTCTTATAGTCTTAATACTTATTCTCTTCTATCAGAATATTATAATTGTTAGATACAGTGTATTCTTTAATCAGCTTAATATAGTATAAGTTAATATATATATTTAACTGACTCTTCATATATTATATAAGCTTTGCTTTTTTAATATAATTACTGCTACTGATATACATAGTAACTGTACTTATAGTTGAAGTAGAGAATGATTGATAACTAATAACTGAATCAGTTTAAAATAATTCAAATATCACTGCTACTCTTGCTACAGCTTTAATAAGAAACTATAACTATCAGTGAGCTGTAAGTATGATTTGATAAGTTACTTCAGAATTATTTTCTCTTAAAGATTAAGATATTAATAGACTATTACTTCTTATAATGACTGTATATATCTGAATAATAAGATTAATAGATGATTGATTTTAACTTTATACTGAAAATTCTGCAGAAATAATCTGCTTAATTACTGAACTAAGTCATTTCTCTCTAAGCTCACACTGTAAGATAAGAGATATAATGATTAAAGCTTAAGCATGTTCTTAAAGCTGATACTTCTTGAGATGAGTAATTAATAACTGTAAATAATTTTAATTATAAGAAAAGAAAAATATCTGTAATATTCAGAAGTATTCTTACTAATTATACAGTAATAGAACAGAATAGATCAGTAATAAGTATAAAATCTCTAATATTTCAGTGAACTCACTATAATATGAATCTGAAGAAAAAATAAGATTAAATTCAAACTTAAGTATATTTAAAAAAGAGATACTGTCTGTACTATCATACTCTGCTCTTGATATATTTAATCTCTGTATATGAGATTCAGCAGATCATCTAGTTTAATCTGAAGATACTGTATATAATGATGAAATCAGCTGTTATTATATAAATTATAGTTCAAATTCAGTTAATTCTTGTTATTAATAAAATAGTTTTAATAAAATCTTCTTACAGTTGATTCTTTGATCTCTGTATTACTATTTTAGTGTAATATATCTTTAAGAAATACTATATAAGATATAATCACTCTTATCTTTTCTTCACTGATATTTATTATAACTCTCTCATAATTCAATATAGATAAGTTATGTGATAATATAGTAACAGTGTCAGAAAAATTAATATTATAAGAATTAAAGATTAGAGTAAAAATATTATTTCACTTTAAATATTTAATAACACTCAGTGCAGAAATTATATAAAAACTTATTAAGCTTCAGTATATATTTCAATATAAATTAAATTCATCAATAAATAATTGATATAATAGAGAAATAACTTGTATATCAGAGTAAAATATACTTTTCAAAATATCTTATTCATATGCAGCAATTTCTAACTCAGTCTGAATTGATAAAGATTTATAATATAATTATATCTCAACAGCTTCAGTCTTAATTCTTATAATCTGATAAAGAAAATACTAATCTTTACTCTTATATTTCACTGATAGATTGAAATTCAATTCAAATATTGTATTTATATAAATATCAAGTTGATTTAGAAGCTGAGTAATTAAGATATATTTCATCTCATCTTTTATTATGATTAATTCAAATGAGATAAATGATAGATTCAAGAATGATAATCTTTATACTATCTGAGAAGTATAGTAAATGACTTCTTGAACTTTCAGAACTATTATATGAGATCTTATTTCTATATCTGAATATCAGTGATTACATCTGATAAAACATACTCTCTTAATATGAGATATATCATTCAACTCTGATTTGCAGTAGTATTTGAGATTCTCACACTGATATTGAATAAAATTAAAAGAAAAAAGAGATTTATTTATTAATGAATATTATATAAAGTTACTGAAATAATATTTGACAGAGCTTTTCTAACTGTAAGATTATCATAACTTAGTGAGATTATTGACAAGTTTCATCATTTCTATATATATCTATCACTGAAAATTTGAAGATTTGA